ATATATTTATTTTATCCACTGTGTATTTTGTTAATTTGGTCCTTTGGGTTTTGTCTTTCCTCTAATATTGCTGCTTTTGTGTTGAGCAAACATGATTTTTTAAGAGTTCAGAGTTAAAAGGGTAAAAAAAAAGGAGTAAAGTATTAAGAAGGTAATAAAATTGAGTATGAAATCAAAATGACAATATTTAGATGAAGGGGTATACGTCAGACGACGTTAAATGGTAGGTTGTAAGACTCATGCTACATGAGCCTTCCTTTAAAAAGAAAACGACGCATTTTTTTTTAAAAAAATATTCTTTCTTCAATCGTTTTGTTATTGTGTTTATTTTATTTTTGTTTCCTATTTTCACTATTTATATTAAATGTAAATAAAAATGTAAGTGATGCGGTCAAGTTTAATAATTTTTTTTAAATATAATTTGATAATATGGAGGACAAAATATAGAAACATGAAAAAGAACATCACAATTTAGGCGTATCGTTCGATTCAATTCAATTTTGAACCATGACCAAAATTCAAAGCTTGTCCGAACGACTAAATCATTTACATCATAATTAACTACCAAACGTTATAATAATTTATACGAAAATTAATACATGAACTCGATATTTTTTCTATTTGTTCAAAGCAAGAGAGCATGGTTAAGGGTCAATTCTTTGTACTCCACTTTTTCCAAATTCCAATGATAGATAGCAATAGGTGAGTAAGTGTGCAAATCTCAAACACAGAGAGATCTCCTTCGCATGCCCTCCGATTATTGAACCAAATTAAACGTCAACCCTTTACATCACTAAAATTATGTTGCCAACAGAGTCGGACTCAAAATTTTGATATTTATTTGAATCAAAGTTGCTGAGTTTATTGAATCGTATCTGAACTTCTAGTATCGTAGTTTTTTTAATGGGATAAGGCAATTTTGTGCTTGGATTAATAAAGTCGTGGACTAATATAAATGTCAAATTAGAAGTTGGATATAGGAAAATTCATAAAACCGATCAGAATAGTTTTCTTTTTGTGTGTATAAAGACTATACAAATTGACTTTCTTATATCAAAATTAAAAAGATAACTTTACTATATAATTTTTATTGAAAAGGGTCATATTTGCTTCTGTACTCTCAAAAAGGGTTATATTTATTTCTTATCATATTTTTTAGATGTATTTTCCCTTATCGTCAAATTTTGGGCTCATATTTGCTTTTGAACTGTAAAGTTATATGTCTCCAGTCTAGTTATCTTACATAACACCTACATGAATATATTTTTATCACTATTAAAGTTTGCTCTCACTATAACTATTATATATACCCAACCTAATATTATACCTATCCATCTAACCCATTAAACTCAATTTTTAATACCATATTTCCTTCGTTATTTTTCCATAGAAAAAAAGCCATCGACAAATAGAGAGAGAGAGAAAGAGCGCGCTAGGGCTGCACATTCATGTCTTGATCGAAAGTGAGGTTTACACAAAGATAAAATGACTTTGCTATATAATTTTCATTAGTTGAGTGACTTAACCGCTCTATGTGGTTAACTCTTCACCTTATAGCCTTTTGCCCATCCCTTCTTGTTGGTTAAAGATGTCTATATGTATATCAAAGATATGGAAATGTTCTTTGGACCAAACAATATGTACATTTATGGCCCAAACCTTATTTTGAACAACTGGTCTGGCCTGTAGAACAAGGACTATCAATATGCTTCTTGAGTTTAAGAACCTTTTGCAATGACATGAGCTATGAATGGGCCATGATTAATTATCATCATTCATTTCCCTACTCTATGGTATATATCAACAAAATGCTAGGTATTTAATAAGGATAGTTTCAAATATACATAATAAAGTAATTAGTTTATAATAAATATAGCCATATTTTTATTTACATACAAAAATGGTCAAATGTCATTGAAAATATACACTAACTATACAATATAGCTTATCAAAAGTTATAGAAAGTATACACTGACAATATAACTTACCTAATACATTATGAACACTCAAAGAGCTGAATATAACTCAACTATACATCATGAAGTGAATACTGACTATTTAATATTGATCAACTTAAAATTACCTTTAAACATTCTCAAATTTTAGATATGAAATCCTCTTGATGTTTCAAGTTTTTCGATATATAATTCTCTCGAAATGATTCACATTTGCGATTTTTAAATCAAACAAGTTTTAAAACTTTAATGACTGATTGATTATGGAAGAAGAAGAAAGGAAGACTGAAAGCAACAAAGAGAAAAAGAAGGAGGAGGAGGAGAAGGAAGGAAGTGTTGGGTTCGAAAGTGATTAGGGCGTCATGCGGAAGCTTACAATTGCATATCATATGGTTGATAAATCAGACGACAAAAACTTATACTAAAAATTAAAATATTATTATATGGTTTAGCCAATCGACCTACATATGAAAAACTAATAAAAAGAAAATATTAAAACTATTGAGAGAAAATCTCCATAAACAAAACTCTTTATTGACTACATTAATTGTGGATGTTCTTGTGTTATTGATATGAGAAGAGGGGTCTTCAATTTATAAGATTCAAGACTTTTCCTCTAAGAAAATAATAAATCAAATATGGAAGATAATTATATTTTCCTTTCAGGAAAAGTTAAAGCATTTATGGTAAAAAAAATATTTTTCTTTAAAGAAAAAATAAACTTCAAATAAGGTAAGAAAATCAGGACAAAACCTAATAGGAAGAAGAAGTCATTAATAATGAAAATAAATGACCTTATATATATAGTACTCCCCTCCCTAATTACTTGTCCACTTTTGAATTGACACACCTATTAAGAAAACAATAATTGACGTAGTAAGTTTATCATTTTACCCCTATTAATTATGAAGTGGATGAATTAAAAACTTAAGATTTTCAAAAAGTTCTACCTTTTACAAAGTAATTAATTGAGGGTATAAATAGGTAATTTTTTTTTATCCTTTCTTGATTTGTCAAAATGGACAAGTAATTAGGGACAACTAAAAAAGGAAATGTGGATAAGTAATTAGGGACAGAGTGAGTATCATTTTTTAATGAATTCACATGGTTTGTACTTTTCCCTATTAAACCTAGGGGTGTGCAAAAACCGATTTAACCAATAAATCGAACTGAAAAAAACACTATTGATTTATTGATATTGGGTTATTGGGCTAACGGTTTTTAAACGGTTTTGCAAATTTTTTATTGGATTATTGGTTCGATTTTTGGTTTTATGATTTTTGTTAATGGTTAAACCGATAACCCAATAAGACTATACTAAATTTACTAGTCTTATTGTTAATGGTTAAAACGATTGTTACTTTCACACTTTTTTCTTTGAATGTGTCTAGTGTCTAAACTTGCAAGAAAAATGATTGTTACTTTTATGATTATTACTTTCATGCCAAATGCTGGAAAAAATCATATGGTTTATATGAAAAATTTTCTTATCGTGTATATAATATATGAGTATTTTCTTATTGGTTAAACCAAAAACCGAACCGTTAAGTACCATAAACCGATTAACCAAAAAATCGATAAGAAATATGTTATTGATTTGGTTATCGATTTGATGTATTTACAAATCGAAAAACTGATAAACCGAACCAATAACACATAAAACCGAACCGAACCGATTGATGCGTACCCCTAATCAAACTCGAACCTAAAAGCGCACACGAGAGCAGAGCTAGAATGTAGGAAGTGGATTGGTACAATTCAATAGTTTTGGTTTAAAACATGTATTTGTCTTAAAAAATTCTTTCAAAATATGTATAAATTTTTAATTAAAACCTGGTAATGGAAATTGACTAATATTTTGAATTCATAAATTTCAAATTTTGAAAAATCATTATTATTTAGCTGAGGAAGAGGTACGTAGCATTTCAATTGTTGTATAATTAAAAGATACAAAATGGATTAACAATGTTCGTTATGTATTTATACTAATCATTAAGTGGAGGAGATTAATTATACAATCTTTAATATGCTTTTCCAATTTAGTGAAACAAAGGGCAGAACAATTTTTTATTTTAATAAATTTGCATGGATTATAAATATTGCCGTTATTCTTAACAATATTTATACGTAACTTACAAAAATTTGTAATTTAAGGGTTAATTACTTAGATTCATGTTAGTTTATAATATTATAAATATATTTTATCAAATTTTGGACTTCAAATACATGTATCTGGCATCCAAAGATACATGTATCTCAAATATATGAGGTAAAAAATATGTGGAATTTGTTGTAGATACACTATATCTAAGTGAATTCACATGCATCTGACTCCCTTGCTTGCCTCTCTCCCTATTTATGGCATCCCAGATATATGTATCTTGTGTGATTCACATATATCTAGGATACATAAACTATCTTGCTCACATGCCTCCTATCTAGCTTGCCTCTCTCTCCATTTTAGTGTATTTGGTAGCAAAAACACATGTATTTTGGTGCATCTGACTTGAAATATAATATGAAAGTACTCATTAGTGAGACAATATATAATTATTTCAAACTATGGGGGGAATCAATAAATATGATAGGAATGCTTGTCTAATTAAGTAGTTTTTCCAATATTTATTGATTATTCATTTTACAACTAATGAGATAATTTATTATCACACAAATACATAATTTATTTTATATTATAAATTATAAAGTCATTTAACTAATATCATTTAAAAAAATTAAATCTATAAATATATATTGAGCTTGTGCGCAACACCACTAGTATATGCTAAAACCAAAACATAAGTCCACAAACAATAAGTGATGAATTGATTCATTATAGATCAAAATGAAGCACACAACTCAACTTTTCCCTTCCTATTTTGGCCCTTACTGTTTAATATAGCCCCAAACATAAAACCAAATTTACCTTTCTAAAACTTAAAAGCAAGAACAATTTATTTAAAGTTTTTTTTTCTAGGTATGAAAATGTCTAATGTACTCCCATGACCGCGCTGTGCGCAAGATGTTCTGGACACCAATCATATGCTTTCACTCATTCATTTCATCCATCTTTGTCCTTTTAGTAAGTAGCCCATCATCTAGGGAACCTGGACCTGAATCATCATCACTCATGTCACTTGAACTTGCAACATCCCATACACCTGTTGGACTTGGAGGAACCATAAGAGTTGAGGCACCAAAATCACTTAGCAAAGATGATTCTTTGATCAAATCAACACACTTCTTTACTTTATCCTGCAAATTAAAATAGTCACAAAGACAAAGAAGAAACCTTTTAACATTTTGATTAAATGTAAAGTTAATCAAGATGAAAGACATAAGATTGAAAATTAATAGTAAATAATCAAAAGTACTACTATATGTTTTTTTTAAAAGTATTAACCTAAATAGCAGCACACTCAATCGCTTAAAATAAAATAACCAACATATGATAATATGTGTATATGTATAGTAGTTTCATCTATTTGATGTTAGGTTAGTGTGCTTTGCATGCTTTTCTCGAAGCTCATATTGAAGCTCGTCGGTCAAGAAGTTGCATTCCGCCTTGAGCGACAGGGAGAAATTCCGATCTTGCAATTGTGTCAATTCAATAAGATAGATGTTTGAGTCGCTTCGTGACTTTATACACTCCAAAAAAGAATGAATAGACGCTCAGATGGAAAAATTACGATAGATATAAAGCAGTTTGGAAATGAAGGATGCGCTTGAGGAAACAATGAGATCATCAACATAAACTATGAGATAGACTCGAATGAATGCCATTATTTCCTTTTCTTACTCGAAAAGTAAACAGTGAATTCGATCGACTAGACTATTTATCTAAACACATTTTTTTGTTGAAGAATTAGCTTTTTAGGGACAACATATTTACCTTTTGTACTTGTTGAATCAGGGTAGATATTGCTTTCTCAATGCCACTTGTCTTATTTTTCACCACATCATAGATTGCCACAGCCGCTGCAATCTCAGAAGGCTTGAATTCCAAGAAGTGAATTCCTACATTTAATTTTCACCCTCATAAAATTTGAATTACATATTTCATTTTCTATAGTCAAAATTTTGCAAGATGAAAATTTTACCTTTCAATGTTCCTATTATGAGATTAGTAGCTTTAAACATTGTAGATGTTGAAGCAATTTGATCACCATTAATCTTCTTAATGAAATAACCAATAAATGAGAATGGTGTAATTGCATGCATTCTCCAATTCAATGTTTTCAACACAAGCAGCTCCATTCTTTGTATGGTGCTTGCTTCAAACTCAAATTGTGTTCCCTCAATCTGTCAATAATCATTACAAATTTATTAACAATTATTAGACAAGTACCCAAAAATTAAATAAAATGACCCTTCTATAGACAATTTATGTGTGTTACTATTTCTTTTAGTCCGTTTAAAAAAAGAACGTCACACAATGTAATACTCTTTCCTTTTTAGGTAATCCAAAAGAATGATATACTTCTATATTGGTAACAGTTTATAGTCAGAAAAATATCTGACTTGTTTTAGACCATAATATAAATCAGAACAGAGTCTCACGTGATATATCTAAAATCACAAGATTTAATAATATTTTGATACGTTACACACATCTTTAATTTAATATCTTAAGAATAATTTTTTTTTTACTATTTTTTTAAAATTTCGTGCTTAGTCAAATTAAGACATGTAAATTAAAACGGAGGGAATATATTTACCTGTAAATCTTCAGATAGAGGAACTTCAACCTCTTCCAATTTAGCAGCAATAGACACACATGCTATAGCCAACAATTGCATTGTCCATGCTCTTTCCTCCTATAAAACAAGCAAATCATATTAAAATTAATAAAACTTGATGATTAAAATGAAACTACAATTAATAAAACTTGATGATCAATTAACTTACAGGTAACTCAAAGACAGAAAGAAATCTATCAAGATAGTTCACAGACAAATATAGACACAATGGTCCAAATTTGAAATGTGAATGAACCTGCATACAAATAATTAAGCCACAATTAACATTGATCAATACTTAATTAAACATTAATTACAAATTAGATTGTAAAAATATATGTTTTACAAGTAGAACAAGGCAAGAATAAACGTAAAAAACTCAGTCAAACACACCTAAAAATTTAATAAAGTAGGGAAAAGATAAAAATACATTCAAGGTACAAAATTTATATGAAAAAAAACAAAAAAGATCCTACCAACTCATATAAAAAGATTTTCCAATATAAAGTAAAATCCAAGAATTATATCATCATATAACCC